TGTAAATTCCTTTTACTAATGGAATAAGTGGATGGAATAAACTGTTGCATTTCAGGAAACTGAGGTACTGGAGTCAGAGGGCAAGTTAATGATATTGGAACTAGAAATTTTCCATCAATAACTGCACATTTTTATTCTTAAAAACCGATGTGTTCAGTCTATAATTGTGATGGTAGGTTTTTGTTAGCACAACACTGCTTTATTTCTAGACAAGCCAAATAATAACACAATATAATATATTTGTTTGATTTTTGTTTTTGTGGTACTAGGGTTTGAACTCAGGGCCTCATGCATGCTAGGCAAGTGCTCTACCACTGAGCTATATCCCCTGATCTCATAATTTGTTGCTTTATTTTTATTTTGTGATAGGGTCTTACTAAGTTGCCCAGGCAGGCTTCAAACTTCAGTCCTCTCACCTCAGCCTCCCAAGTAACTGGGATTATAGGCCTAGGCCACCACACCCAACTATAACATAATGAATTCTTTTTTTTAAATTTTTTTTTAATTTTTATTATTGGTTGTTCAAAACATTACAAAGCTCTTGACATATCATGTTTCATACATTTGATTCAAGTAGATTATGAACTCCCATTTTAATGAATTCTTTTGGGGATGTGTAAACAGACATTCCTAAGTGATTTGTTTAGTAATTTTTCTTTTCTTTTTTTTCCATTTCAGATGAGTTTTTATTGGAGCATGTAATTATATATAACAGTGGGATTCACTGTTATATATTTGTACACGCACACAACAGAACAATATAATTTCCTCAATTTTATTTATTAAAACTTCTGCCTTTTAGGCAAAATAGCATGAACTTAAGGTATAAAAAGAGTTTAAAAATATAATTGTTTTATTTAATCTAAAACATTACCCTCTATTTATTTATTTTGTAATTTCCAGATTTTTTAATGTAAATTTTTAAAATTTATATATGATAGCTTAATGTATTCCATTTCTTATTACATATATAGAGCACAATTTTTCATATCTCTGGTTGTATATATAGTATATTCACACCATTTGACCCAGCTCTCCTCAGTCTATACCCAAAGGACTTAAAAACAGCATACTACAGGGACACAGCCACATCAATGTTTATAGCAGCACAATTCATAATAGGTAAACTGTGGAACCATCCTAGATGCCCTTTAATAGATGAACGGATAAAAAAAATGTGGCATATATACACAATGGAATATTACTCAGCAATAAAAGAGAATAAAATCATGGCATTTGCAGGTAAATGGATGGAGTTAGAGAAGATAATGCCAAGTGAAGTTAGCCAATCCCAAAATACCAAATGCCAAATGTTTTCTCTGATATAAGGAGGCTGATTCATAGTGGGATAGGGAGCCAGAACATGGGAGGAATAGACAACTCTAGATAGGGCTGAGGGGTTGGAGGGGAAGGGAGGGGGCATGGGGTAATTAATGATATTTAGTAATTTTTCTTGGTTAAATTGTCTTCTATTACTAGAGTAATTGCTTTAACTTATTTTTCTGTTTTAGAAATCTGGCCTTGATAATTAACTATAAATAGTTTATACCACAGCATAGCATATTATCTAAAGGCTTTTATAGCTTCTAAGACTAAAATATCTATTTTAAGAATTAAAGCCAAATTGAATTTAGTATATTTTTTACTTAGTTGAGACTAGATAAAAGGTCCTCCTGAGCTAAGGACCTGTGGTAACCATGTGCTGTCATTCACCTTTTATCGTCTGGGACACCACCACTTTTTAGAACTTTCTAGACTCTCTGCCCACATGCTCAGATCTGGGAGATGGTTGAAGACCTCACAGCGGGAGAGCGCTGAAGGGCATCTTGGGTCTCAGCCCCAGGACTACCTCTTTGCTATGTATGAAATTTTAGACAAACCATAAACTCACTGGGCTGTGGTATTTATCTCTAAAAATTACATATGGACAAGAGTTGCTATACTACTTCTGTCTCCCAAATTCTATGATATTTGGGGGAGGATGAGTTTATTTACAGTGTTTTTATTCGTATATTAATTTTTCCCAATTCTGAGGGAAGTCTATCAATTTGGTATTCCTTGTTGGTCTCCCAATAATGGATTCAAGGTGGCTCTTCTGGGTGTTGGTGGTAGTTGTTTTCCTAGCCCAGCTGACCATATATCATCTAACATCCAAACTGGTTTTAAGCAGTCTTTACTATCAGTGTCATTTTCAATACATTCGTTTTCCATTAACCATCAAGGTGGTGCAGGGTCTGAGGGATATTTTTGAAGATAATGAGCAGTGGTTGAGTACCCTCAGGGGCTTTCTCAGGGGAAAATGTTTTTGTTATCCTAGTTAACTATGGAATTGAAGTTATTAATTTATCTTGCTATCTCTGAAGAGTTCTCTGGCTATCAGAAACTGCTTGAAGGTCTTGCCTTTTCAAGATTAGTGTTTCTTCATTTGGATGGATGTTTACAGTGCTGGCCATACCAGATGAATGTTTGATAGCCTGTATTGAATTACCTCCTACCATTTGTTTTTTTTTTTAAAGTTGATTATCTCTTGAGGAGTGATATGTGCCTCCTTCTCCCCTCAGTGAGAAGTGAAACAGCACCTTGGCCTTGCTGTGGTCTCCGTGGTTCTGGGGGGTTTCCCATCCTGGCCAACTTCCTGTGTTGGGCAAGGAGAAGAATGAAGAACTTGGGGGAGAAGCCTGTGTTTGTTTCCCTTAGGCCAAGACACTCCACCGAGGATTTTCTTTACAGTCTTATAGTCACTTCAGGATATTGAAGGGCTCTCTTGATGGTTCCTGTAATTCTGCAGAGGAGTATTTAAGGAAAATTCTGCTGAGGAGGATTTAAGGAAAGGCCTTGGGCCCTGTGCTGAGGAGATCCTGTCCTGTGCAACCTTCTGTCTGGTGTGCATGTCTCCTTGCCACTCTGGTCAGTCCTCATCACAGAGGAAGTTCCGCTGTGGTGGTGACAGGTGGTCTGAGATCCACTTCGGTTTTGTTTCTCTCTGGAAAATGCTTATCTTATTTTCCTGGAACATCCAAATTGGTTTAAAGCAGTTTTCATTATCAATGTCATTTTCAATAGATTCAGTTTCCATTAACCATCAATGTGGTGCAGGGTCTGAGGGATATTTTTGAGAATAATGAGCAGTGGTTGATTGAGTACTTACTGAGTCCTGGGCATGGGAGATACATGGCTGCTGACGGTTGTTCTAAGCCTCCTGCGGGAGTCTAGACAGAAACTTAATGAGGGGAGGGTGTGATAAGAAAGGTGCAGAGCATTGCAGACTCCTAGAAAAGGGAATACCCGATATTCTTGCAGGGCCTAGAATATCTTTTAAGGTTTTTATTGTCATTGATTGGTTGTTATTTGGACTGGGAAATTGAAAGTAGACATGCTCTCCATCCTCATGCCAGAATTAGATTGAGAGTTCAGTGGAGATGAATTGAAGAGAAAAAGTGGTGCAGAGATTGGACAGCTTTGATGAAGTCAATTTGAGAAGTCCTGCTAATTATGTTTTTTAATCTGGAGAATTTCCTCATGCTTTTAACATCCTAATGTATACTGTTATACCTGGGAGAGATTATAGTACGCAATTCCTAGGTTTGTTGGTTACGGATTTTTTTTTTTAACATAGAACATTTTTTTCAGATTATTATTCCATAAAAACATGTTAAGGAAATGGTGTCATCATTAATTTTCAGCTCTTAAACTTCCAGATCTGTGTAAGCTTTTTTGCAGTTGACACATTGACCATATAAGGAAACAGTTAGCCTATAGGTTGTTTTGTTTTGTTTTGTTTCAGTGCCGGGGCTGAACCCAAGACCCCTTGTTTGCTGGCCCTGAGCCACATCCCCAGCCCTGGTAGAATTTTTTCATAGTGATATAAAGTGGACAGTGGCTGGTGGACATGATCGATAGTATGGGAAAGGTTAAAAGAGGGCCTGGATACCAACAGACCCTTTTGAAAATCATTGCTTTTTGAGCTAGGTTATGTTTCACCAATTTTCATTTTTTAATCATTGACAATAAAATCCTGTGAAGGAAACATTTTTGATTATCCTCATTCCCGTTTTACAGATGAATGAACTGAAGCTCACATAATGGGTGGAAGGAAAATGCTGGGAGACAAACTGTGGTCTCTTTTCTGCTAAAGGCAGATTATATAGTTATATAAATATAAATTTTTGAATCTTTCTTTTGAATTTTCTCTATAGGTATGCCTTTTGATTATTGTGACTTAGCTGGTTAAGTATTTTTAATGAATAAATACACTAGTTTAGTGTATTTAAATTTAACCTGTAACTCTGCTAGACAGACTACCCCTTGACTGAAGGCAAGTTCCTTGACATTTATAGAAGTAAGATTTTTCATTTATAAATGAGGGAGTTGGATCAAATCCTTCATTTTCAAACCATGGTGCATTCCACAGAAACCCCCAGGGGCTGGGAGTGGAAAGATCAACAAAGCAGGCAGAGCTGTCTCCCTCCCCTCCACTTCAGCCCAGGCAGCCAGATTGGTAACCTCTGATGGGGCTCAAGCACATTTGGAAAAAGGGATTCACTGACTTTTTGGTAAAACTGTAAAATTATTGGGCCAGATGATCTGCATTTCTGTAGTTTTCTCTGATATCTATTTAAGTTGCATATAGTATATGCATTTTTAAACATTCTTCACCAAATAGAATGATGGATTAAAAAATTGCCATATTCTTTCACATTATTAAGTACAAAGAGAATCAATGGTTTGTGTAGAGCAGAGTTCAAAGCACTATTGAATTATCCTTAGTAAGTACACCACTGGAGATCCTATAATACATGTGTGTTCTGACCTTATTCTTTTTCAGATCCAACTTAGTGCTGTCAGAGAAGACAAATAACCAGAGAAATGGTGCTCCCTGAAACTATTACATGTTTGAAAACTATGGAGTTCACAACTGACTTTCCATTTTTGTGTGCATGTGTTTTGGGGGAGTTGATATGGAAGTCCCAGTAGCCTAACCTTTTCTTTTGCTTCCACAGAAGGAAGAATTCTGTTCAAAAATGAGGTGAATGAATGCTCATGCACTCAGAAACCCTGGACAGCTTCATGAGGTATTTAACAACTGCCCTGACCATCTTGCCAAACAAGTCTCCACTCATGAGGCCCAATAAGATGAACCAGCCAAGGAGGGACAGTGTCCTGCCCTGTAGGAACAGTGACTGCTGACCTCTGAGAACAAGCTGGGGACTGCATGTCGTCTGCCAGTACAATGAAGGAAGTGGTTTATTGGTCACCCAAGAAGGTGGCAGACTGGCTGTTGGAGAATGCTATGCCAGAATACTGTGAACCTCTAGAACATTTCACAGGCCAGGATTTGATCAACCTAACCCGAGAGGATTTCAAAAACCCCCCCTTGTGCCGAGTCTCCTCTGACAATGGGCAGCGGCTCTTGGACATGATAGAGACCCTGAAAATGGAGCACCACATGGAAGCACACAAGAACGGCCATGCCAACGGACACCTCAACATTGGCGTAGACGTCCCCACCCCTGACGGCAGCTTTAGCATCAAGATTAAACCCAATGGGATGCCAAATGGGTATAGGAAAGAGATGATAAAGATCCCCATGCCAGAACTGGAGCGCTCCCAGTACCCCATGGAGTGGGGCAAGACTTTTCTGGCCTTCCTTTACGCACTTTCCTGTTTTGTTCTCACCACAGTGATGATCTCGGTCGTCCATGAACGAGTGCCTCCTAAGGAGGTGCAGCCTCCACTACCGGACACGTTTTTTGACCATTTTAACCGGGTGCAGTGGGCCTTTTCTATTTGTGAAATTAACGGCATGATCCTTGTAGGACTCTGGTTAATTCAATGGCTGCTCTTAAAATACAAGTAAGTAAAGTCAAAGCTCTAAGATGCGGTGAAAGAGGGGTTTATACTCCAGACATCTAGTAATTATTTGGAAGTGAAATTCGTCAAGCAGTTGGAATCAAAGCGTATTAACTGCTTTTTCTTTCATTTTGTTAACTACATACTCCGTTGAGCTAACTAAAATTCTGGCAGCTTTAAGAAAATGCTGTTAGTTCCCTGTTTTGTTCAATATTCATATAGCATGACAACTAGGACTGTGAGAGATGATGTTCTGTTTTCACTTAACGAGAATGAAAACTCTCAGACATCTTTCAGAAAGTACTGGCTGATAAACAGCAGGTAAACCACCTAGTCTTGGTGTTATTAACTCAGGAAGTAAATGATTGGCAGCTGGCCTAAGTATTGCGCATGGTGGGGATCGTTTTCCCCACACAGTCAGACCTGGAACCTCACAGATACATATTGAAAGATGAGTTCAGAATAAGTATTCCACAGTGGCTTGGGTTATTGGGAAAATGATATCCTTAGGATACGACTTGGGTAGGTGGAATGTGGAGGAACCTATGTGATTTTGTCTTATTTGTTTTGTGGCAATTAAAGCAGACTGTGACTATTCCATTCAAGTCTCTCAGGGCTATAAATAGGCACCTCCGTTTAGTTTTGTGTGGGTGCAAGTGGTTTTCAGGTCTCAAGCTCTAAACTCAAATATAGATTTCCAAAACCACTTACCTGGGTAACGACTTGTTCTTGTTAATTAATGCCCTTGTCTTTGGTGTCTGAGTTTCCTCTGAGTGAAACATCTTTATGATGCCCTTGTGTGGGGTTCTGGAAGCCATTCATTGAGGAAGTTCAGTTCCTCTTGGTGAACTGTTTCATGACCACAGTGCAACTAAGTATTAAAGAGATCACCTTAACTCAAGAAAATAAATTGTGGATATAGAGTTTATCCTGAACTGTCTCTGACAGAAATGATGGGTTTTTTTCCCTGGTATTTTATTAAAACTATTTGAGTTTTGTTTTATCTTATAAATTATATCTGTGAATGGAAATGAGAGCAGTTGCTCACTCTTGGCCAAGGGAAGGACTATCTTAGTCTAGATAAAGAAAGTCATTGAAGTAGTCAGTGTTTATTTAGGGCTGGTTTGGCAATCCTAAAGTTTAAGCAGAAACTGAAATAAAACTAGTGGTCTGGGCTACATTTGATTTGGTTGAAGAGCTGTTTCTGTTGCTTAGTTTTAAGAGGATGAAGGATATGTTTAGAAATATGGATGTTCAGAATTCCTTAAATGCATTCCTTTGGTTGCCAAACTTCAGTCCTGCTTTTTGAATTATAAACTTTTTGACTTCTCAACTTTTTTCCCTAAAAGCCCAATGGGGGAAAAAATGTTAGTTCTTCTCTACAAAGGAAAGTTTAACTTGAATTATGCTTCCTGGGTTTTGTTTTTTTTTTTTTCCCTGATTTTTGGTGTTTTGTTTTTGTGTGTTTGTTTCCTAAATTTTTATCAAAATTCTTCCATGCAGGCATATAATTTACTACTCTGGAATCTAGCTTTGAATAAATCACACATGATTCTCACAGAACTGTGGCTTTTAAATGAGTTTATTCTTGTTCAAAGAACTGTCTTCAATATAGGACTATTTTCTTTAAAATGTTTATTTTTTTCCCAGCAAGAGATTTTCCTGAAATCTGCAAACTTTTTTATTTTATGTTTTCCTGGTACTTATTGCCAGTACTGCTGACACTTATATATTTAAATTGTTCAGCAATAAACTAGCCAATTTGTTTCTTTTACAGAATTAATCCAGTACTGGGATGCAGGCAGCCTGTGTTCCAGCCCAGCCAGGGCCTAATGTGCTGAGTGGTTTGGGTGGATCCCTAAATATTTTTCCTCAGAAAATAAGGTCCCCTTAAGTATAAACTTCTGTTGTCCTAGGCAACCATGTGTTGTTTGAATTTAACATTACTGGACATGCCACTCAGGTTCAGAGTATTTCTGTCTAGAATGCATCCAGCTAAGGATTCTTTAAAATCTTCTTTGAACCTTGTGTGGTGGTGCATGCCTGTGATCCCAGCTGCTCCAGGAGGCTGAGGCAGGAGGGTCACAAATTAGAGGCCAGCCTTGGCAACTTAGTGAGACCTAAAAATTTTAGAAGAGGACTCAGTGGCAAAATGCTAGCTTAGCCTTTTTGAGGTCCTCGGTTCAATCTCCAGTGGGGGACAGGGAGGTGGAGTCCTCCCTCTAGTTTTCACCTCTGGAAAGATAGGGATGTAGGAAGCGAATATTGTCCTAAACATCCCTGCCCCTGTCCTTCTACTGGGCCACACTCTTGCTGTCCGTCTCCCTCCTTGTGATCTCTTGAGAGTGTATGTGGCCCACCAGACGTATAAGAGGTAAGAAGATACAGACTGACATATCACGCAGTAGGTAGTGAACTGCATTTCCCTGGCTCTCTTAAAGAAGGTTAAAAAGATCTTAATTAAAATTTTAAATTTTGTAGTGTCATAGTTCCCTTGTTGCTAGTTAATTACATATTATAGTATAGCAGTTTTATTCATGCAGCATTTTCAGGAAATAGATCCTTCTGGTATGGAATGTTCTGTTTAACAGAGTGTTAACCTCTCCCTCTTTTTGTGTTTTGACTCTCCTAAGTTTCCACCTGTCTCCCCACCATCCACCAGGAAGTTTATCACTTAACAGCACACTTTACTCAGCTCCTTGGAATTAAACCTGTTTGGCTATTAATTCCCAACAGGGCCCTTGACTTTGATTTTAAGAGCCCTAGAGCCCTTAAAAAAATAGTATATTCCATCTTTCTTTTGTGTCGTCTACTTTTCAGAGAAGAAATAGGATGAAGCTGTAGAGGATGACTTAGAATTGAGGAGTGAGACCACTGGAATTTAGCTAACATCTCCCAACAGAACACCCTGTAACTTGAGCTTGGAGGTGCTGGAAAACCTTAGTGCTTAAATTGTGACATTTGGCTCTCTCCTTATGTTGTATACAGTTGTTCTTTCCTGTGGAACATGGGTTCTGTTTTATTGTACTTAATTTCCCCTCATTTCATTCTTCACATCTTCTTGTCACGTCTGGATGTATATATGTTTACATAAGCATATATCAACATGGGATTTCCATGACATTGAGAAGGGGAAAGCAACAATAATACCTGTCCTTGAGAAATTCTTTGGTTTTTAAAATTGTAAATAAATGTTGTCTCCCCATTTAGAATTGGACTTTCAAGCCACTGACTAGGAAAAATTCCTGGGAATCTGCATTTGTGTCAGACTTCACTGCAAAACAGGTATCCCTTGTTTTAAGAAAGCATGATAAAGAATATATTAAACATACAGATTTGATAAAGCCTCAAGACTTTATTAAAGGCTTTGCATGGCTAAGTCATGGTTAACACGGTGGCACCGATGTGTGATGCGTGTGCCTCCACTCTGTCAGGACATTGTAACCCCCTGACAGGCCAGGGAGCATACTGTAGAATTTCCAAGTCAAAGGTTTACTAGTCACTAGAGGAATAATTATGACTGAGTGTGGTGATCAGGGTACCTCAAACTCAACTTGTCTGACGTCAAATATGCTAGCTTTGAAAACTTCCATTTTTTTTTCCTTCCTCTCTGACCAGTGGCATTTATCAGAAACCTAAGAGGGCTCCTCCCTTCATTGTCACTGAGTTGAGTCAGTTCCAGCTCTGTCAGTTCTAATTTCAGATACCTCTCCTCTTTACACCCCAGGTTGGTGTTCTCAGTCGAGACTCACATGGAGAACCAGTTCCTCAGCCTGAGGCTCAGGGTTCTTCATATTCCGGTCCCTGGCTAGCCTGCCTAACCTTTAGCTACTCCATTCCATGCTTCTCCTTGAACTAGCTCGTAGCACATTTCATTCTATTACTTGTGTGTGTGTGTCTCCTTCACTACTAGATTTTAAGTTTCTCAAAAACTAGATCCCATTCATCATTCATCTTTATATCTTTCTGCCTGGTACAGAGTCTAGCACATAGAAATACCCAGAAAATGCTCTTTTAAAATGCATTCGTTCATTCAGCCTGTGTTCACTGAGCAACCTACTATGCATCGGGTATTCGTAGACCCTGGGGATGCTACATTGAGCAGAGGATCTTGGAATTCTCCTAAAGCTTATCTTCTGGCTGGGGTAAGGCAGCAGTAAACAAATGAATAGATGATAACAGCTAATTTAAGGGAAATGGAGAAAAAGCAGCGCAAAGGGCGAGTGTTGGAGATGGTGAGGAGGGATGGAGCTAGTAATGAGGTGACAGTTGAGCACATGAAGGAGAGTGGCATGGGGGCTTTCGGGGGAAGAGCAGTGCAGGCAGGAGACCCAGCAGGTGCAGAACTCCTGAGGAGCACCCAAGGGCCTCTGGGGCCCCTGAGCTGGTGGAGTGGGGACTCAAGAGGTCTGTTGAGATGTGGGTGGTGGCTCATGCAGGGTATTTGTGGGTGAAGAGTTGGGATTTTGTTTCACGTGTGGTAAGTCATTTGAGGTGGAGGATGTGAGCAGATTTATATTTTGAAAGATTCATGACTGTGGCTGCAGTCTAGAGAGCAGGGAAGTAGGATTTGAAGCAGGAGGACTGAATAGGTTGCCACTGTGGAAGTCCAGGTGGTTGAATTGATTCATGTAATGTTTGTTCAGTGAATGAATTTTGGGTGGGTGATGGGAAGTCCTGGCTTCTGTTGCATTTAGAGCTGCCCATCTTTTGTTGGGGTAAGACATTTTCCTGAAAGGAGTAGTGTAAGTAATTTGGGGATTGGGGAACAGATTGTATAAAATTCATTAAATATTGCAGGATATGTTGGTCCATTAGTGGTGGAAATTGTTGTAGAAAAAAGTAAAGGAGCCCTTGGTCAGTTGGGTTGTGGGGTGGAGTTGAAAGAGCTTGGTGGTAGAGTTGTTTGGGGGATAGGGTAGAACATTCTGTTATCAACACTTGGCAGAGACATAGTGAGGCTGGTGATGTGGAAATGGTCACTGAGTGGATTCTTTGAAAAC